AATATGCCAATTGCTTCCAATTATAAGGGCTCAGGAAGTAAACAAAGATTCACCTTCAGAAAGGCAGATTGGTCTCATATGTTAGATGACAAGATTATGTTGGTTGCCCCAATCCATGAGGAATATGAGCACGGTGTCGAAATAGTAAAAACCTGCTCATGGGCTTCTATACCAAGAGGTTGTGGGACACACTATCTTCAGGGTATTACTCCTGATATAGCTGCTTTGTTGGAAGGCTATTACAGGTTTCATGATGAAGACTCATTTAGTGAGCAAACTCTTGAGGCCGCACAGAACATTCTGTTGTCCACCTCTGATGCCAGGAAACAGAAGTGGATAAAGCTAATAGCAGAAGTCAGTATGGAAAGGAGTAGACAGAAGGCATGGTGGCTTTTAGGACGGTTGAGCAATGATCTTTCACAGATCAGATAGCACAACAACATCTGATGAATGGGAAATGCAACCTTGTCACAAAACTAGGAAGGAAACCAATAGTCAGAGAACCAGATAATGAAAACAACAACCTTTATGAACTTTTACATCTACTGAATTGGAAATGGCTTTCAATAAATGTAAAACTGGCAACACAGCTGAGCTGGATGAGCTAACCAATTTTTTTTTTTTGTGTCAGGAGTGACTTGAGAAACTGCAAGTCTCTTCTGGTGTGAGAGAATTGGCCATCTGCAAGGATGTTGCCCAGGGGACACCGAGATGTTTTTTGATGTTATATCATCCTTGTGGGAGGCTTCTCTCGTGTCCTGCATGAGGAGTTGGAGCTGATAGAGGGAGCTCATCTGTACTCTCCCCGGATTCGAACCTGCGACCTGTTGATCTTCAGTCCTGCTGGCACAAGGATTTAACCCACTGCACTTACTGGGGGCTCCTTATCTAACCTATTAAGAACTTTTACCCAAAAGTTGCCAAAGTGTAGAACAACTGCATTGCATTCTGTCTGATCCCCAAGTCTGGAGGAAAGTAAGAGTCATAGCCATTTTGAAACCAGGTAACGACTAATGATCCAAAGAGCTCTAGACCAATCTCCTTGTTGTGGCATTTTTATAAAGTTCTGAAGAGACTTATCCTGCACAGAATAATGGAAAACATAGACCCATGTATGATTCCACAGCAAACTTGTTTCAGGAAAGGGAAAAGCTTCACATTACAAGTATTTAACCTGACTCAGCACATAGAAGATGGTTTTGAAAGGCAGCTGATTAAGGAGCTGTCTGCTGGTGAATACACATGCTCATGTCTTTTTTGTATATTTTAATTGGTTAGATGTAAGCAATTTGTAACATTGTCACAATTGCATATACACAATGGTATATTATTGGGGTTTTTTTACATTTTATCTTTTACAGTTCTATGCATCTATTACTTATAAGAATGAAGCAGAGTGTGTTTGAGGACTGGGAAATCCATAGGGAAACCAGGGTGCTTGTTTATAAAGCTATTATCCTCCCAACCCTGCTATATATCTGCAGAACGTGGACTGTCTACAGACATCACACTCAACTACTGGAATGATTCCATCAGTGATGCATCTAAAAAAATCCTGCAAATCTCTTGGGAAGACAGGTGGACAAATGTCAGTGTGCTGGAAGAAGCAGACTACCAGCACTGAAGTGGTGCTCCTATGCCATCAACACAACTCGACTGGCCACATTGTCTGAATGCCCGATCACAGTCTCTCAAAGCAGTTACTATACTCCCAACACAAGAAAAGGAAATGTAATGTTGGTGGACAGGAAAATAGATTTAAAGATGGTCTTAAAGCCAACCTTAAAAACTGTGGCATAGACACTGAGAACTGGGAAGCCCTGGCCCTTGATCACTCTAACTGGAGGTCAGCTGTGACCAGTAGTGCTGGAGAATTGGAAGAGGCATGAATGGAGGGTGAAAGGGAGAGACATGCCAAGAGGAAGGTGTGTCAAGCCAACCCTGACCGGGGCCTCCTTCCATCTTGAAATTGATGTCCTCACTGTGGAAGAACATGAGGATCAACAATAGGACTCCACGGCCACCTATGGAACACTCCATTGTCCCCTTCCCTCTTCCCACCACACCCTCCCTCTGGGAACAGATGTAACTCTGCATATTGGTTTATATTATTTGTTCGATTATGAAGATTTTTTGGTTCAGTTCCTTATATTTTCCTGTCTCTTTCACTATGAATATTATCTCTTTCCACTTCAGCTTCCAATTCTCCTTTGGATGGCCATTTTTAATATATTTTGTTTTCCTTTCAGATATATAGTCTTGGAGCATATACTCTGATAAATATTCAAGCCATTTTGAAACTCCCCATTTCCCTTCATCTTTCCATCTTGAGGCAGCTGTTGTTTTGGTAGCTGCTATCATATATTTCGCAATTTCGATCTGGTCTTTATTCCTCCCATTACCTTCAATTTGTTGCGTAAAGAGTTGTTTTTTTGTTTAATTCAAATTTTCTCCCCAATAATTCTTCCAACTCTTCCTTAATCTTTTTGTAGAGATTTGGTAGATTTTCACAATTCCACCACATATGAACAAAACCTCCAATTCCCTCACATTTATGCCAACAAAGTTTGGGTGGATTTTTATTTATTTTTTTGCAATATGGGTCAGTTGTGCTTCCTTAATCCTTAAATATTTAATTTCCTTAATTACTCTTATCCTTAAGGAAGCCAAGTTGATTTGATCATTTGGACAGTTCAATCTTCCTTCATTGGTGTTTCAGTCTATTTCCAAATTTGAGGATATCGTAGCCTTGCTGCTGTTGCCATATATGACAGAAGTAAACCTTATTTTCTATCTTGGTTTTTTAAAACGCATAATGCTCCACAGAAACATATCTGGTAACATCGCAAAACCCACTTTTAATTGATTTGAATTAATACATATATCTTGATCTAGAAACTTTTCATCTTTGTACAAGTTCACCACATACGGAAAAGTAGTCCTCCTCATCTGGAAGTTTGCAGCATTACTATGAAGAATTCTGAATTGTTTTTGACAGTTTATTTGGAGTTTTTTTTATTTGTATTAATAAAAAGTTTTTTTAAAAAATAAACAAATATATTTAAACAAAAAATAAGAATATAATGCTCTGATTTTTAAAGGAAATAATATTGTCTATACATTACCTATAATAGAATCTATATGCAAAGGAACTTTGTGATAATTTTCAGATTAACTGTGAGAAAAAGATTTTTGTAGCATAAGCCTTCATAGACTAAAGTTTATTATTAAGTATTTATTTTCATCATCATCATCATCACTTTATTTCTTAATTAGTCGCTCTCCACCAAAGTGCTCCGAGCAACTTACAATTTAAAATAGCTTATACACAATATAAAACATTCAATATAAAAACATTCAACATAAAAACACTCAACATAAAAACATTCAGCAGTGACTATGGCAAAATTTGATCTGATTACTTAAATGCACAACCAAACAGCCAAGTCTTGAGCGCCTTTGCAAAAGGTCGCAACTCCGACATTGCTCTAATATATGGAGGCAATGAGTTCCACAGAATTGGAGCATAGATCGAAAAAGCTCTACGCCTTGTAGCTTCCAAATGTGCCTCCCTAGGACCCGGTATGTAGAGGAGATTTTCCTGGGTGGATCGAGGTGACCACTGATGGGGAAAAGGAATGAGGCGGTCCCTAAGATATAAAGGTCCTTGGCCATTTTGAGCTCTAAATGTCAGGATCAGTATCTTGTAAGAGATACTGTTCTATTGGTAGCCAATGCAGTTGTTGCAGAATCGGTGTAATATGGGATCTTATAGATGATCCCGCTAGCAGCCTGGCTGCTGCATTTTGGACCATCCGAATCTTCTGGGTCGTTGACTTCGGAAGGCCAGCATATAAGGCATTGCAATAGTCCAACCTAGTGGTGACTGTTGCATGGATTACTGTTGCCAATGCTTCTACCGAAAGGTAGGATGCCAATTTTCTTGCCTGGCGAAGATGAAAAAAGGCCTGCTTACTTATGGCAGTGATCTGGGCCTCCATCGTCAGCACCATTTTAACTGCCATGGCCCAATTCTATGAAATCCTGGGAGCTGGAGTTTGGGGAGGCTGCAACACTCTTGGCAGAGAAGGCTGAAGATCTCGTGAAATGATAACTCCCATTATTTCATTATATTCAAGTGATATGAATTCTACATAATACTACATCAAATTCATGTATTTTCAGTATTTATATTCTGCCCTTCTCACCCCAAAGGGGACGCAGGACAGATCACAGAACATACATATGTGGCAAACATTCAATGCCATTTATACACTGACAAGACAGACATTTGTAAATAGATAGAGGTATATATAGGTTTTTTCCCCATCTTCAGCATCTTCGAGGCTTGTGTTGAGTTCCAGACACAGGGGGTGTTGTCGCTCTGTTTCCCTGCCAAAGAGCTTTGTTCATAAACTTCCTCTTTTATGGAATTGCCAGATTTTTCTGACATTTCCTTTTGGGTACCTTAAATACCTCCCCGCTTTTAAGCAGTACCTATTTATCTACTCCATTTTGCTTTTGAACTGCTAGGTAGGCAGAAGCTGGGCCAGGAGCTCACCCTGACATGCTCTTTGAACATTCAGCCTTCTGATTGACAAGATTTACTGCAGCTAGTAGTTTAACTTGCTGTGCTAAAGCCCGGCCCTACACTCTAGAAATAATGCAGTTCAGCACCATTTTAACTGCCATGGCTCAATTCTATGAAATCCCGGGAGCTGGAGTTTGGGGAGAATGCAACACTCTTGGCAGAGAAGGCTGAAGATCTCGTGAAATGATAACTCCCATTATTTCATTATATTCAAGTGATATGAATTCTACATAATACTACAACAAATTCATGGAATGAAGACAGGTGCAAGGGAAGATATTGATGTACATGGATGCATGTATAGAATCTATAATATGTTTCCCTTCGGATTTTTCAGATAAAACAGAATTTTCAAGAGTTTTTTTCCCTAATACATTTACAAATGATTAACTTAACTGTCGCAGGATTCCTATAACTCTGTCTCAGTTGTGGTTTCCTGTGGTTCCCTATAGTCTTCCTCCTCCTTGAAGAGTTTCTCAAGTACATTATTTATTCCCTTGCTGAATTTACCTCTTTTCCCTCTTCCTACAAAATAATAAATTATGGGGTTAATTGTGCTGTTTAGAGATAAACATAGATAAACATATACAGCAAATTCAGAAGATTGTAATTTTAAAAAGATCAAAATATAATAGACATTAACTGGGAAAGCAAAGAGGATGAAGAATACAAGTGTAAGTAAGGTAGCTCTTATCAGCTTTCCCTGTTTCTTTAGCTGCAAGTTTAAGCAGATTTTAATTAATATGGCTGTAGTGGAGACACACATGATGGGCATGGAAAGCACAGTATTGAAGGCAAACAGGTAGGACAGTAATTCAGTATAGTGAAAAGAGACTTTCAGGGTGATGTCTGTAGCAAAGATTAAAAAAGCGAAGATCCATATCACAACACATACAGCAGTGGACAAATGTGTTGGGCGGTGGCATCGATGCCAAAGTGGGAAGAAGATACATACACACCGATCAATGCTAATGACTGTCAACAGGAACTGACTAGCAGTGAATGTGGCTAGAAAGATGGATTCTAACCAGAGACACAAATAAAGAAGGAAATGGAGAAAAATGCTCTCAAATAAATATATAATAAACAAAATATTAATAGGAACTAGAACTGTGAGCACAAGAAAGTCAGCAATGGAGAGGCTCAAAATGTAGGTGGTGAAGGGATTCTTCTTAACGCGGAACCCAAGAAGCCAAATGACCTTTCCATTCCCTACAAGTCCAGAAAAGCTGATAAGAAGACTGACGATGAATAAAAGTAATATAATATAATCAACAAGTGACCTATTCGATTTCTCAGGATTCTCAGTTGAATTGTATCCCATTGTAGCATTGAAAGAAGAGGTCACAGATTGGCTGAAATTGGTCATCATTAGGGTTCTTTCTGGAGTAGATACTCCTACAAGAGAAGAGATGGGAAGAATTACTTTCCAACCTTTCAGCAGAATAATGAATCATTTTCTTCCCTGGGAAGTCAGAACGGGCTCTTCCTTGCTGTCCCTCCAGCACCAGGCTAAGACCTTTTTATTTAGGCAGACTTTTAGAGAGGAAAGTTTTAAAGACCAAACCAAGATGTTTTTGATGGTTTTATCTGTTTTGACTATGTATTTCTAAAAGCATCCTCTGAGGATGCTTGCCATAGATACAGGCAAAACGTCAGGAGAAATGCCTCTAGAACATGGCCACAAGAAAAAACCCACAAGAACTTAGTGATTCCAGCCATGAAAGCCTTCGACAATATATGGCCATGGTCTAGAGGCATTCTCTCCTGACGTTTCACCTGCATCTATGGCAAGCATCCTCAGAGATAGTGAGGTCTGTTGGAACTAGGAAAATGGGTTTATATATCTGTGGAATGGCCAGGGTGGGATGAAGGACTCTTGTCTGATGGAGCTAGGTGTGAATGTTTCAACTGACCACCTTGATTAGCATGTAATGGCCTGACAGTGCCTGGACCAAATTTTGTTGAGAGGTGATTAGATGTCCTTGTTTGTTTCCTCTCTGTTGTGCTGTTGTAATTTTAGAGTTTTTTAAATACTGGTAGCCAGATTATGTTCATTTTCATGGTTTCCTCCTTTCTGTTGATGATAATAATAGTTTTCTTTCTATAAGGCCATTTAAAAAAATCATTTTCTCAACAGAAATAATTTTAGGTTTGTATTCTGTTTAAAATTTTGTTTAAAATAAGACTAAAAAAGGTGAAAATGACATGGAGGTTGTTAACTGAGGGGTTCTTTTTGGGCAGGGATATTTTTTAGAGATTTTGTAAAGGCAGTTCTGAGTTCTGGACTGTTTTCTGGCAATTCCAGGCACAAGCTACAACATTTTATTCCCACTCTTAAGTGGGTTTCTTTTCAATTCTGAGATCTCCTTAAGCATTATGTTCCCTTCTCCTTTTTATTATTTTCCCCTAAGCATTAGTGAAGCAAATAGCATTTGCACTGTAACAAGCCATAGGGCTCTTATCAAAAAACAAACATACAAACAAACAAAAAACAGAATGTAATACTTCTTCTTAAAAGCATAGCGAAATGTGATATTCAAAGTCATTTATTCTCTAAAAGGTCCTTCATGTTTCAGCCTTATCACAATTTTAACTTTTCAGAGACAATTCAATCCTCAGAAATACCTGGAGTTGCAGCAAGCACTCTCTAAATTCATCTTAGGACCGGGTTGTTGTAGGTTTTTTCGGGCTATATGGCCATGTTCTAGAAGCATTTATCCTGACGTTTTGCCTGCATCTATGGCAAGCATCCTCAGAGGTTGTGAGGTCTGTTTGAACTAGGAAAAGGGGTTTATATATCTGTGGAATGACCAGGGTGAGACAAAGAACTCTTGTCTGCTGGAGCTAGGTATGAATGTTTCAACTGACCACTTTGATTAGCATTTGATTGCCTGGCAATCAAGGTGGTCAGTTGAAACATTCACACCTAGCTCCAGCAGACAAGAGTCCTTTGTCCTACCCTGGTCATTCCACAGATATATAAACCCCTTTTCCTAGTTCCAACAGACCTCACTACCTCTGAAGATGCTTGCCATAGATGCAGGCAAAACGTCAGGAGAAATGCCTCTAGAACATGGCCATATAGCCCAAACAAACCTACAACAACCCAGTGATTCCGACCATGAAAGCCTTCAACAATACATCTTAGGACCCTTCCACACAGTCGTATAAGCCAGGATATCAAGGCAGAAAATCCCACAATATTAGCTTCAAACTGGGTTGTCTGAGTCCACACTGCCGTATATACCAGTTCAAAGCAGAAAATGTTGGATTTTATTCGGCTGTATGGAAGGAACCTTATATGGAATTATCTGTATTTCACTCCTTGTTGTTGCCATGTTTTACCAGAGACAGCAGCAGGAAAAATGTGGCAAAACCCAAGGAGCTAAATACTGAGAATGCAATCCTGGCTGAATATGGGAGAATGGTTGTATACATCAGATATTTGTTTCTGTTTCTCTCCCTCAGTATCCTTTTCCAGAAAATGATTCTGACAAGTTTCCCAGTTTTTCAGACAAAGTTCTTGAGGTACCTGTAGGAGTCCAGCCTTATTACTAGAAATTGTAGTCCAACCATGCATTATTTCATTGAGGTGGCTATTTAGGGGCAAAGGACTTCATCACACTAGAGCATCTATCCACTTTAAATCCTTTTGGTGCTACTTACAAAGTGATCAGGTGTGTAGTTTACTGAGGCCCAGGATCTCTCTGGCTACGCAGTTTAAAGCCCCCCCCCCCCACAAAAAGCTACAAATCCCAGAATTGTGAAGGAGGCAGCAAGCGGATATAAAGTGCATAGATGATCTAGTGTGATGAAGTCCAAAGACTGAATCAGATAATTTGGAAAGCCTCTCATTACTTTATCAGAGTACAAAAGCAGCAGACACAAGAAGTGGCACAGAATGGGAAAGGTAAAGGACGAACGTGACTGAAGGCATGTGCAGAAAGCTATAGATGGAAGTGGCAACATAAACCAATGTATGCATAGAAGGCCTTACCTTTTCCCTATTGCATTTGATTCCTTCCCAGTGCAGGATTGAGATGTTCTCCTTCTGAATTATGAATATCTCGGTGATGGTCAGTTCTTTTTCAATTGTGAGAAAACAATTCCACACATGGTGAGCCAGAGTGGATGCTTTATATTACTCAGTAAAGGTGGGGCATCACTTCACATAACCACTAAATTTGGAGAAATCCATTAACTGGGCCCCGAGAAACCAAGATTTAGGTGCTGCTCCTTCCATTTGATGCATCAGAAATCTCCTGTGCGCTGTAAAAGTTCTTCTCATGCTTATTACATTTGAATCTTTGTTTTACATATTTTAATATATGGATTTTAATGGTAATGGGCTGGTCCATGAGGCAACAAAGAGTCAGAAGTGACTGAATAAATAAACAATGGTAATGGGTTTTATCTGTGCGGTCTAAATATATTGTTCTTACCCTTGAACTGTAACGAGAGTTTGGTAACTCTTCTTATTTTCCTCCTCCTCCTATTTAGATACAAATATCACTATGCTTGCATTTTGCAATGAATCACATGCTGGACACTTCCCAAGTGTCTAGGACTGTGTGATGTATCGGTAAATAATGCATGCAGAACCAAGTAGGGTGGCCTTTTGCAGCTGACAGATAGTAATTTTGTCAGCACTGATTGTTTTTAAGCGCAGACCAAGGTCTTTAGGCACTGCACTCAGTGTGCCAATCACCACTGGGACCACCTTGACAGGCTTGTGCCAGAGTCTTTGCTGTTCGATCATTAAATCCTCATATTGTGTAAGCTTTTCCAGTTGCTTCTTGGCAACTTACCACAGCATACAGTTATATCCTGTCTTAGCAGACAGGTTCTTTTAATCAATTACATAGAGCCTTCGACGAACAGCATCACAGCACAAAGAGAGAGAATACACTGTACATGACTTCCTTATATACAATTCTATACAATTACACATAGCAATCTCTGATTGGTTCTCAACTCATTAACTTAACTCAGACCCAGGATTGCATCATTCACAATCACCTGGACTAGGCCAGAATACATTCCCCAAATGATTCCCTATATACAGTTAATGCATGACTCAGCATTTCCAATAGAAGCCCATTAGCAGTGCATGACTCAGCTATATTACATTACAATACATTGTAAAACCTGACAGATTGCAACATTGCCAGGAGATTTCCAGCAGCCATCCCATGGAGGCCGGGTAAGTTCTTTTCCTTTTTTACTGTTTTTAGGGGGGCTTCTGGAGAGGGGGTTGGTATTCCCACAGTTTTCAGGGCTAACTTAGTGCAGAAAACTGTGGCAATACTGTCTGGGCTGCAGTATTCTGCGGTCCAGACACTGGAAGTAGTGGGCTTATCTTGCGCTTTCCAAGAAGCCATGGAATAAACCCACTATCAAATTATTTCGGCAAAAACTAGGGTTTACCTGGTTTGTGATGAATGAATGCCGGGTTGCACAGAAGGTTGTCTGGACAGCCCCCTTTTTATTGTGGAAGTTTCCGCAGTTAAGGGGCTGTCTAGATCCATGCATTGTGACCTAGCCCTATGTCACCCTGGATCAGCCTTCTATGGTGGTTTGCTGCCATGGGACTGATCTGACTGCACACTAACCTAAGTGGTGCAGAGCTGCATTCCCACCACTACCATTGCTTCAGCAAAAAAAATTAACCATAGGTTTTTGAGTTCTGAATTGATTGGGTTGAATTCTCATTTTTTCCCCCCTCTCAAGTTCAAATGAACTCTCTGGGTATTTTTTGTTTGTTGATTTGTTTTAAAATCTTGATCCTGCACAATGCTTGAATAACCTGTTATTTCCCTTTACTATATAGCACATGCAGTCATTAATAAAATATGATCACAACAATCTGACAATCTACTTACATTTGTTTTCTCTTGTAAATGGGGGAAGTGGTTCATATTCCTCTATGAAACTATTTCCTGGCAACTTTTTAAAGTAAAATGTGCTTAAATCCATTCCCCAATGGGCTTAAATGCAACATTTGGGCCTGTTGGGTGCCTTTATTGGTAGGAAAGAGATTGTAACTATACTAAGTAGAGGATTAGACATTCAATTACATGGAAGAGGTAAAAGCAAGAAAGGTGGGAGGGATAGATGCATGTTTCTTCCTCTTCCACTTTATTTCTGCTTTCCATAACTCTTTGTTACGGTTTCCTGTTTCATTCGTTTTCTTCATATGATTTAAACTCAAAATTTGTCTTTATGGAACAGACTTTCAAACATATTGGTTAGTCTCAATTGAAGAAGACACACTGAATGAATGGAACTAACTGCAGTGTTGAATAAGCCCACCATCATTCAGTGGGACTACTTGGATTGGGATCAGCAATAGTATTGTGACCTTGGAGTTGTTCTTGGACTGCAACTCCCAGAATCTTTCATAATCAACTTGCCTGGCTCACCACATCACTGTTATTGAAAAGTAGACTCCAAAATTATAAATAATGAGACATGGCTACATTGGGATATGCAATGTGCCCATATGGCTAATTCCATTTTGCCCTATACTGTTGGCTCATTCCCATGGTTTCTCCTTCACCCTGCTTTATAAGTTCCTTTAAAAGCACCTTGAAATGAGTACTTTACACAAAGCTTGCCATCAATAGCTGTGATTGGAAAACTCTGTCCATTTCAATAAAATGGTATGCAGCATCCTTTCTATTGTCTCAGAACAGCTAAAAGGCAGATAATTGTTTAGATTTACTACCTGGCATAAATGCAGGAACCAGCTCTCTTTGTTCTATTAAACTATTTCCTGACTATATTTTCCAACTAAATGTGCTTGCATTCATTTCCTGATGGACTTAATAGTAACATTCTGGATTACTTGGGAACTTTCATTTCTAATTTTTAAAAAGTGGAGGATTACATATGCAATATCGTTGGAGAGGTAAATTCAAGAAAAACACTGGAAACACATCCATTTTTTCCTTTGCCATGCTGTTCCTACTTCTGACTCCTTGTTTTGATTTTCTGTCTTTCTCTATGACGCTGTTTTGTATGAGATGAGAGAAAATATATCTCGGGAAGCATTGATTTTCTTTCGATGCTTCATAACTCAAATTGGGTTTCATGTCCTTTTCCCCCTTTGCTTTTCAAGGTCAGAGCAACAGCCAGGAGCTCTCTGGGGCTCTGTGACCACCACCACCATGACAAACAACAACAAAGGTAAGGGTGACACTCAATGGAACTGTATGGGGTTCGGTCGGACCAGATACTGAAATCTCCACTCCCACCACTGTCAAGGTTCAGGAGCAGAGAAGTGTAACAACTTGGCAAAAACCAGATGACATCTGAAGCAGGAAAGTAGTTGCAGACTTTGTGGTCCATGTGTTGAGTGGTTTTAGCTACTGCAAGAATCACAGGTTTTAAAGGTCGGGCCTTTCCTTGACTAGTGGTTTTCAAAAAAGGTGGTTTTCAGATGTTCGTGGAGATTCACGTTTGCCAAATGAATATGACAGCATTTTTCTTTTTCAAAAAGGTTATGAATGCAATTTTCCCCCAAAAAACAAATAACAATAAATACAGATTAGCATTATATTGTCACATTAAAAAAATATCCATACATGGTTTCCTTTCTTTCACAAAGTCTTGAACTGCCGTATCCTTTGGAACCCGGGTTTATTTGGTCATTTGGGCCAACTCAAATGTTTACATCATTTTTAATGGTTTTTATATATGTTATTGTTTTAGATGTAATTTATTGATTTATATGTTTGTGAGGCATTTAATTTTTGCCATTTATTATGTTGGAAACTGAATTGAGTCCCCCTAGGGTTGAGAAAAGTGGCACATAAATAAATAAATAAACTCAGCAATGACAACAATTCATTCTTCCATCGTTGGTGCTTTAATTTATTTCCAAGTTTAAATAAATGATAGCTGTGCTGTTGTTATCAAAGAAATAACCCATATTTACAATCCATATTTTATCCATAATTCCCATTGGAAACATTACAAAATCCACCTTTCAATGTATTTGGATAAACATATAAATCTTAGATTAGTAACGTTTCATCTTCTTGCAAGTTTATCACATAGGAAAAAGGAATAATCCTTATCATAACATCTACAACATTGCTTTCAAACATTCTGGGACATTTCCAACAGTTTAGATGCCATCTACAGGCTATTCTATATAGTTTTTAATTTAAATCACTGCACAAAGTAAATTTTATATATTTGGATTACATTTTCTCCCATGCATCCATATGGACAGTATTCTCTAAATTTTGGGTCCAAGCTTTTTACCATTCTGAGTAAAGTTTCTTTTTCACAGTCTGTGTTGCTGTATTTTTATGCTGATAAAATCATGAACAAACTAATAAAATCTTTGCTTTCCTTAGGAAACATTCATGTTGACTTGAACATCCAGCTATCTTGTTCAAAATACAAAAGGTCATCTTAAAGCAACTATCTCCAATTTGAACCCATTATTTGCTTTAAAAATTCAAAGGCTTCCCATAGTTTGGTGGTTAATATTATCTCATGAAAGAGAAACTCAATGGTTACACCAATACCAAATTCATAGATGAGCATCTCTAATGCAATGCTTTTTACATTCAGCATGTGGTTTAGCTTTTCTTCCTTGCTTTAAAGTCAACTCCCTTAATTCGTGAATGCTAGTTAGATTATGCCACATTATAGTTTAAAGAAGACACACTGGGAAACTTTGGAAATAAGAGTATATTCTTCATTGTTCTCTCAAGGAGACCCCAGTGACAAAATGGATTAAACCCTTGTGCTGGCAAGACTGCTGACCGACAGGCAAGCTGTTCAAATTCGGGGAGAGTGGGTTGAGCTTCTTCCTGTCAGCTCTAGCTCCCCATGTGGGGTCATGAGAGAAGCCTCCCACAAGGATGGTAAAAATCAAACATCCAGGCTTCCCCTGGGCAACATCTTTGCAGACAGCCAATCCTCTCACTCCAGAAACAACTTGCAGTTTCTCAAGTCACTCCTGACACACACACACACACACACACACACACACACACACAAAGATCTCTTAAAGGAAATAATGTTTTCTACATATTATGCACAATAGAATTCATTAGGGGTTCTGGGGCAAATTTCTGCAGCATAGGAAATGCTAGTTTCCCTTAACACTAATGATAAATTAGGACTTTCTAAAGCATTTCAGTGTAAAGGAGTATTTTGAATGTGATGTACATATTTAAAGAACCATTTAAGATGGTAAAAATAAATTACAGACTAAAAGTATTAAACAATTGGACTTGTTAAAATTAATTGAAAGCCATGCACAGATAAGACATGTACAAATTAAGAATGAAATAAAACAGTCCAATTTTAGCTTGGTCCTGGAATGAAACCAAAGTCTACTAGAGCTCCAAATAGAGGGCATTCCAGGTGAGTACAGAATGTAATCAGCACAGGATGTAATCAGAAATTGTTTGTTGTTTTCAGAGGGTATTCACAAGGCATTGTATGTCACCACAATTTCTGTGTTTAGGCCCAGGACACACAAGATTGCAGTCACAGCCTTTCTAACATAACACAAATGGCAGAGCTCATCAAACAGTATGAGCCATGGGAAGATGCATGTCATCTATTGCTCAGATTCACTATTGTAGATCTGCGCTATTTTACACCAACAGTTTTGCATTGCTAAACAAGTTGTCCTGCTATACAATATAGAATCCTACTGGTCATATACACCTGCCCCCATGCAATATGAAAGCCAGCTAGGATTGTTTTCCACTTTGCAATGGATGTTTCATTTACCACATACTATTTCTGATGGATTTGGAATTTGTCTGTTTTTATTGACAGTTATTGGGGTTAGAATAAGAGTCAGTGCATTCTTTATTCTTACATATAGCATCAAATTAAACTTCGTGAATATTTACATTCCTCTAGCAGTGCAACACCCTCTCCCCCAGTGCGACCCCATTCTGAATACTTCCATATTGCTTTATAAGGTTTGTGTATATCAGAAATGTGATGAAATAGAGTCAGAATGGCTGCAATAATATCTTGAAGGCTGCATGTTTCCACTGAGATGCATTATTTTTCAGTCTTCATTTCAGCTCATGTAACTGCATCACAATTGGGTTTGGACTGAGGTTGTCATTTCTTCCATATCGTTTTCATTCTCTGTGAAAAGTCTGACTAGTATTTTCTTGACTTTCTCCCCAGATCGATCCTGCTTTTCCTTCCCAATCAAAAAATAGAAGAGGGGGTTAACAGTACTATTTATATAGGCACCAAGTAGAGCATATTCATTGAAATAGGGATCATTTAAAGGAGGGATATCATCAGAGAAGTATTGAATAGCATTCATTGGAAAAGTAAAGAAGAAGAAGAAGAGAAGGGTGAGCAAGATTACTGTCAGAAGCTTCCCCCGCTTGTATTGAGGAGATATGATGCAGATTTTAATTAGTAGTGCTATAGTGCAGATGGCCATAAGTGATGTGCAAACCAAAATATTCAGGAGGAATAGGTAGTATGAGAGGTTAAAATATTGAAGGGTTAGTGGGAGGACTATATCGCTAAATGAAAAAAGAAAGTTGAAAATCCATATTAGGGCACACAGAGTGGGCGACAGATATGGTGGTCGGTGGCATCGATGCCAAAATGGAAAGAAGACACAGATGCACCTGTCAATGCTGATGAGCGACAGTAGAAACTGACTAGTGCTGAACATGAATTTAAACAGAGTGTTAAAGAATATCGAGAAATTATAGATGTCATCTATATAGTTGAGTAATTGTGCAAGCCAAATTGTATTGATAGCAACAATAGCCGTGACCACTCCAAAATCAGCTATGGCTAGGTTCAAGACATAGGTAGTGAAAGGATTTCTCTTAATGCAGAATCCAAGAAACCAGAAGACAACCCCATTCCCTACAAATCCCAAAAGACTGGTGGAAAGAGCCATGATGGTTGTCAAAAATATCACTACGCTTGGTAACTGTTCCTCATTGTCCGTTCCATTACACCCCATTTCAGGATTGGGCGGAGTCCTCAGGGACAGATTGAAATCAGCCATTGTGTTCCGAACCTGCTTTGGAAATTCTTCTTTTGATGCAATTCCTGCTAGAAAAAAACAACAACACTTTAATGCTATGATGACTAACCCTGGGAAATGACTGTGAAGTTTTTGGTGACTCTCCCCCCCCCCGCCCCAATTCTGTTTTAGAGAACTTCCCAAATTCAGGAGGGATTTTTCTTTTCGTGTTTGAAAGATTTGGTCCATTAGCAGCAATGGGAAAAATTGAAAGTCTTGTTTCTTTGTTATTTTTAGTCATATCAGTATGAAACCTGCCTCACTTGTAGGCCACATATACAACTGCATATCTGCCAAGTTTCAGAATGTTTTACCAATCCACTGAGATTATAATTTCAAAAGATTGCATGTATATTCATATATATGCAAAGCAAAGCAAAGTTTATTGATTAGTCCACTGACCATATCAACATTAAAGACAAAACAAAAAAACATACAGAAGTAGACACTAATCACTATCCTAAGACTCCTGTAATAGTGAGCTAACATGCATTCAAACTTGATTAAATTAAAAGGTAATTTAAAATATCATCATTAAAATGCCATGGTAAAATTTCAAACCACAAAAATTAAAATGAAGGTTAAAACAAAGGTTAAAATAGACCAGCTATTACACAATCCCAAGCCAGTTCAATTTACATGCAATATACATGCAAACTTTTGAAATTGTAATCTCAGTGGACCACAGGGATGTTCAGTTTGTAACCTGAACATCCAATATTTAAATACACCCATTTTGCTACATGTGGTACAAAGTCAGTGATATAAGCAATAATAACTGGTACAAAGTCAGTGATATATGCAATAATTTGCTTGCAAACTGGTTTATATAGGACAGACCCAACATGCAGTAAAATTAAGGATCATTGAACACAATAGGCAGCAAGCTTATTGGTAGCAAAGAAAGAATTGTAACACTTGGTAATTTGTTGGGGTGGGAAGCCGTCCATTTTGACTTTTTCTAGGGCTTTTTATCTAAGTAAAAAGCCCTAGAAATAAGCCCTAGAATAACTGGAAAGGATTTATGCATGAGAAAAAAATCAAGAGAACTCTCTCTATTGATGAAGACCTCAGAAAAATGTGTGTAACTCTATGCATAAACATCAAAATGTAGAAAATAATGCTGAAATGCACTCTGCTAGAAATATACATTTTAGTATAAGAGCCCAGAACAAATGTCACCAAAATCTGACGGGCTGAAAACTTCAAAGGAAATTGCCTAACTCCAACATAATCAAATCATAAATTGTTTCTGTCCTTTCTTACGTCCATTGGCCATGGTTCCAGTCCAAAAACCTCATGCAGATTTATCAAACCATCCCATGGAAGGTCCAATTGATTGTAACAGATGACAATGAGCCTGTTTGTGCAAATAGACCCTCCTTCCCCACGTACCTGAGTGAAAGAATGGAAATAGCTTCAGATATAGTGATGAGAAGAAATGTGCTATGGAGTTCTGTGCTGAAATGACAGGTTATGGGAAGAGACGCTCCTGTAATTACACCCCAAGTCTCCAAAAGGCAACACTGTTCTTGCTGTTCTTCAAAATCACTACAAGAAAATATGCTCATGCCTTTGCACAAAACTAAAGTCCAAATAGGATGAAATTGTGCTGTTCCTTCAATGAAATGTAAGAAAAGCAATGCATGCCCATTCGTTCTTTCTTCACTTCATCAGTTGCTATCTTCACATCATAAGACAAGAACGTCATTTTCCTAGCTATCAAGATAACATCTAAGTTTAAAGGCAGAAACTCTGACCATGTGAGGCTCTGGTAGGCACTCTTGAGGCAAGGAAGTTGTCAATTTCATTATTATACACATTTGTGAGCGTGATTGTTCAAAACAATAGTGATAAAAATATTGGGGGGAGGGAGAAGAGGGAATGAATGACAATACATCCTATAAAATGCATATGCCTTCTTATCTCCATAGTTGGAACATTATATGGATCTTGGTTTGGAGATAATTCCAATTGGTAGATATTTTTTTCAATACATAGAAAATGTTTCCGGTGACAAATGTAGGATCTGACTTTAGGGGAGCTCCAGGGCATTCCCAAATTTGGGGAATGTGGCACAAGACCGTGTTAAGCATGTAGGGTTAACTGGCTTCATGCAACAGGTGGATGCCTAAAAGCCCATTCATTCTTGTTCTTTTTCATTTGGGCCGTGTAGAGGAGGCCTTTGACCAAAAAATAATTTAAAAAAAAATCATTTTCATAAAGTGATATTATGCCTGTCTAGCCCATTGTTTCCTCATCTTCTTCCTGAAATATTTTGCTCTCTCAAAACATTTCTCAAAATTAGAAAAATCAGCAAGAGACTGTGGAAAATAGAGAGATTTCACCTTCTTCTTCCACTACTTCTGGAGGAAGAGAAGAAGTTTGCTTCTTCACAGTAGAGGATTCAGTCCCCTTCTACACTGCTGTATAATCCAGATTATCAAAACAGATAATCCACATTATCTGCTTTGAACTGGATTATATGAGTCTACACTGCCATATGATCCAGTTCTAAGCAGATAATCGGATTTTATAGGGCAGTGCAGAAGGGGCCTCATTTAATATAAAAATGGTCACTTGTGATATATCTGCTGGCCTCACTCTACAAGAACAGTGCTACTATATTACTAATATAAGCGGTTACTCCTGGCTGAGTATCATTGCCTTCCTAGTGTAGGGTTTTGGGTCTGTAAATAGAAACCTATTCAGGATCTGCATTATTTTTCACAATGATTTCTAGATGGAAGGTGATCCCAACAAGGGTGTGCTTTATGTGCCTTCCTCTTGCTATTTTTCTCCCTTTCACCTTCCATTTGTTCCTCTGCCAAATTCATAGCACTATTTGTAACAACTCCAGTTCCAACACTCTGGGGCCAGGACTTCCCAGTTCTCAGTGTGTATGCAAAATTTCTTTAGGTTACCATTAAGTCCATCTTGAAATCTCTTTTGTTGTCCACTAACTTTCTGGGGGTTTTTTTAGATGAAAGTAAAATCACTACTTTGAGAGATGACAATCAGGCATTTGGACAAGATGGCCAGTCAGGCCTTCCAAGAGATGTTTTTCTGTAAGTCTCAGATGGGATCAATGCCTGTAAGTTATGGGTTGTATAATAGAGTTCTGGCTTTGCAACAGTTGGAAGGCATATGGAATTCTTTTGAGAGAGACCTCTCGTGGCACTCATTATTTATTTCTTTGTTTGTTGATCATTTATTTATTCATTCATAATTTAACCTCTAAAACTCCAGTAAACCCATGTTTGCATCAATGGCTTTCCAACATCTTAGGTGCCTTCCAGAGAGGCCCTATATCCCAGGATCTGACGCCAGGTTTTTTATTTATCCCAGATTATCTGGAAGTGCAGACTCATATAATCCAGTTTAAAACAGAAAACCTGGGTTCAGATCCTGGGATATAGGGCCTGTCTGGAAGGGCCCTTAAGCACAAACTTGGTGGCATGAACTTGAGCTGACAGAATAGAATATGCCAGTCTTCAAATGCATCATTTCTATCTGGTCCAAGAGTCTGTGGTAGCCCTTTTGTCTTTGGCCATGTATTTGTATAAAGCCCATGTTCATTTTCATAACTAACATGATAAAACTAAGAGACTCAAGATCATCCAGTGTCATTATAACTATAGGAAGAAGAAAAAGGAACTAACAAAACAGAGGTATTTCTTCCTTTTTTGCTCCTCTCACAATTTATTGATGGATTGATTTTTACATTGACAATCTAATTTACAAACAAAATAATATATATTTAAAATAAACTCATAGGAAATTAAAGAGAAGAAAAAGAAATAAAAATATATAACTAAAATACAGAAGCCACCTGAGCCACGATCCTAGCTGTAATGACAAGAAAAGGGCTAAATATTACTCTGTTATAATGCAATTAAATAATCTAACTTAAATAAAAGATTACGAGAGACACAAATTATTATTACATTTTTTAGAATTCATTTTTTTTAAAAAAACCAAACCAAACAAAACCAAAAACCATTTCCATCTTTTAAATAGTCTTCTGTTGGCAAAACCTTTAGAAGCTCTTTTTTTTTCAGTTCTTGTGGGTTTTTTTCGGGCTATATGGCCATGTTCTAGAGGCATCTTTTTTTTTTTTGTTCATGTCAGGAGCAACCGCTCCTGTTGTGAGAGAATTGGCCGTCTGCAAGGACGTTGCCCAGGGGACGCCTGGATGATTTTTGATGTTTTATCATCCTTGTGGGAGGCTTCTCTCATGTCCCCACATGAGGAGCTGGAGCTAATAGAGGGAGCTCATCCACCTCTCCCCGGATTCGAACCTGCGACCTGTCGGTCTTCAGTCCTGTCTGCACAGTGCTTTAACTCACTGTGCCACCGGGGGCTCCTTTTAGAAGCTCTGAAACATTTAGAAACATTTCAATAGCTTATTTGGGGTTACACCTCATCTATAAATCATTTTCCATTTAAATTACCAGGTTTTCATTTAAATCACCACACAAAAGTTGATCCTTTGACCACATTTTCTCCCATACCACATATGGACATTATGCCCACAGCATTCAGCATTTTTACGTTGGTTCATCTTTGATCATGAGTTTCAAAAACCATTTATAGATTTTGTCTAATTCCTTGGTTATTATCTTTACGCAGCTCCATGGCTACGTTTCCCTTATCTCGATAAAACCCATCCTTAGGTTTCACATAAGCAAATCAGTTAAGTTCTTTGGTTTCCTTAAGATTTATCTCCCTTGATTGAAACCTCCTGCTATACTGTTCAAATATACAAATGATATCAACAACCAACCATCTCTAATTTTCAACACATTATTTCCTTAAATATTATTTTCTGTGCTAAAGTGGCTATTGTTACCTTATGACAATGTCTCCGCTTGTCAAACTTGCAGGAAAGCTTTTCTAATGAAAATAATAATAATAATAATAACAATAATAATAATAATAATAATAATAATTTATTTATATTTACGTCTATCTCCCCGAGAGGACCCAGAGTGGATTGCAGAATACATTTAAGGCAGACATTCTATGCTGTCACAATTAATAACACAGACAGACAATACATGGAGGCAAGGCTGCCCGCGTTTTCATCTCCGGCATCTGGAGGCTGTGCTCAACTTGACCATGGGGAGGTGCTGTTGCTCTATTTTCCATGCTAAGGAGACTGATATCATAGATGCCTTCCTGATTGATGTAGCAGGCATATTTTTCAGGAGTGTCTTTGAGCACACCACTGAAGCACTACCTATTTATCTACTTAGATTGCTGCTGTCAGGCTGCTAGGTATACAGAAGCTAGGGCTGATGGCAGGAGCTCACCCTGACCCGCGGATTGAACTGCTGACCTTTGGGTCGACAAGAATTCCAGTAACTCTAAGTTTAAGCCATAGACTTAACTATTTCTATTTCTTCCTTGTGTTAATAACAAAGGCTTTAGTCTTTGAAAGCTAGATGGGATTGAACATTACAATGCATACTTTGGAAATAAGTGTATATATCTCATTGACTTTTCAAAGCAAATAAAACTTTATAAATATTACTCAATCTACAATCCATTTTTTCTTATACATTTATGAATGACCAACTTTTAACTGTTTGGGATCAGATTTCCTCATTCTCTCTAGAGTCTTCCTCTTCCTTGAAAAGTTTCTCAAACACTTTATTGATTTGATTACTGGATTTCCCTCTTTTATCTCTTCCCACCAAATAATAGATCATGGGGTTAATGGCACTGTTTAACAAGGCACACATGACTCCATATCCATACACATACTTATTTTTAAGAAGGGATAGATAAAGAATATGAGTTATATTAAATGGAAAAGCCAAAAGGAGGAAGAAGAAAAGTGTGATCCAAATGGTTCTTAACAGTTTTCCCATCTTCCTTTGGGGTGGACTTAAGCAGAATTTAATAAAAATGGCTATAGTGGAAACACACATGATGGGCATGCAAACCACAGCATTAAAGAGAAAATGTACAATTTTTACGATAGTATATCCAGTGAAATGGAGACTGACACCTATAGCAGTAGATAAGAAGCTGAGGATCCATACAATGACGCACACAGTGGTGGATAAATGTGGTGGTCGGTGATATCGATGCCAAAGTGGGAAGAAGACACACACACATCTGTCAATGCTGATGATTGTCATGAGGTACTGACTAACAGTGTATGTAAATAGAAAGATGGCATGGTAGATGGAAGCGTAGTAATCCTGAAAAATGTCGGGAGTAATCAAGCCAAAAAGATAACCTATATCACCAATAAATTCATTGTTGAGCACAGCAAAGTCTGCAATGGAGAGGTTCAAAACGTATGTGGTGAAGGGAGTCCTTTTAATACGGAARCCAAGAAGCCAAATGACAATTCCATTCCCTACAAGTCCAGGAAGGCAGAGGAGAAGCGCAATGATGGTTGTGATAAATACCCAGTTGTCTTGGAATGTAGAATGGGACTCATTATAATCTGTTATATTCTCAGTTGCATTATATTCCAAAGACTCATTCACAAAAGAGAACAGTGACTTGCTGAACATTGTAATTCTGAAGGTTTATTTCTGGAGTACACAGTCCTACAAGGGAAGAGGCAAAGGAATCATTACTTTCCAGCTCTACAGCACAATAATGAACAATCAACGTACAGTCTGGAGTCTTTTTCCCCCTCTTATATTCATGCTTAGGTAAATCATAGATTGGAGTTTATTTTGGAATAGATGCTCCTATAAGAGAAGAAACAGAGGAAGAATTGTGTTTAATCCCTCTGCAGAATAATGAACAGTGCACCTTCAGGGTGGAGTCATTTTCATGGAGAACTTTTTTTGCTGCCTGATTTATACCATTTTTTTCTGAACATATTTCCTTGCATATAGTGCCCTTATTCTGATGAGTGAGAGGGTTTTCTTGGTCCAGCTCCACTTCTAGTCACAGATCCAAAGTGTAGTGGAAAGTCTGCCCTACTTAGAAGTAACAATCAGGTTTATGATGAGGGTGGACCATCACTGGGGCTCAGAAATCCCATCCCTGGGATCAAGAGTAGAGTGTTGGGGAGTAATACTCTGGGCATTAGAATGTATCCGTTCTATTATTTAGTTAATGAGTCTATTTCAGTCTATGTTAGTTGAAGCCAGACCTGTGGCCCTCCAGGTATTTTGGACTTAGAATCATACAATCATAGATTATACAGTTGGAAGAGACTACATGGACCATATAGTCCAACTCCCTGTCATGCAGGAAAAGCACAATCAAAGTACCTCTGACAGGTCCAGTCTCTGTTTAAAGCCTTCAAGGATGGAGCCTCCATCACACTTAAAGAAAGAGAGTTCCACTGTCAGCAGCTCTCATGTCCAGATGGAATCTCCTTTCCTGTAATTTGAACCCATTGCTCCAAGTCCTAGTTTCCATGGCAGCAAAAAAAACAAAAAAACAAAAACAAGCCTGCTCCCACTTTCCTATGACAACCTTTCAAATATTCATGACTATTATGTCTCCTCTCAACCCTCTGGTTTGCAGGCTAAACATACCCAATTCTTTAGCACACTCCTCATAGAGATTAATGGTCTCCAGACCATTGATCATTTTAGTTTCCCTCCTCTGGACACTGGGGGCTCCTCCAGTGGAGCCTCCAGTGGCGTAGTGGGTTAAACCAGGGAKTTGCTGAAATTGTTGACCCAAAGGTTGGTGGCTCGAATACAGGGASKGGGGTGAGCTCCCACTGTTAGCCCCCGTTTCTGCCAACCTAGGAAAGCATGCAAATGTGAGTAGATAGATAGGTACCGCTCTGGTGGGAAGGTAACAGCGTTCCATGTAGTCATTCTTGGAGGTGTCTACGGACAACGCCGGATCTTCAGCTTAGAAATGGAGATGAGCACCACCTCCAGAGTCGGACATGATGAGACTTAATGTCTGGGGAAAACTTTTACCTTTACCTTTATCTCTGGACACCTTCCAGCTTGTCAATATCTCTTTTGTACTGTGTTGCCCATAATTAGACGCATAAGTCCAGGTGAGGTCTAACCAAAGCAGAATAGGAAGGTGTAGTGGATCAAACCTTTTGTAGGCCGAAGCCGAAGCCTCAAAGACAGTAAGCCGGCCTCCATCTTAGTGAGGGAAAATGCAAGGAAAGCCAGTTCAGCAGAGGGGAGGAGTTTAGCTTCCCCAGGATTGGCTAGAACAGATGGGAGGAGCTGAAGCTGTCAGTGTAAAAGGGAGGCAGGCAGCTTCTGACAGGGGCGACAATGATTTAACATCAGACAGAGAGAGAAGGGTTTTAAGAGCAGAGAAGGAGGTTGGATTTCAAGTTGAGGGGAAAAGGGTAGACTGAGAGTGAGTGGAAGATTTCCTGAGGGAGAGTGTTGGAAAGGCAGGTGTGGCTATAGAGTGGCCTGGAGAGCCAGGAGCCGCCTGTGAACTGGTGTGAGAGGAAAACACACTAGTTGTTATACACTCTAAAGATCAGAGTATTCTAGTGGGATCTAGATACGCTGAGGGAAATTGCTCACGTCGAAGAACAGATACCCAGTTGAGAGGTTCAGCAAGCTTGTTAAGTCTTAGTAACTGTTTAAGAAGATTGTGCTGTGCTGACCATATATGCTTTCGTAATTCAAAGAAGAATCCAGTTGTTTGTTCTAATATATTTAAATAAACTTTATTCTAGTTCAACTTTACATGAAGTCCTCATATTGATTCATTCTCTCAAGTCGGTTCCAGTAAATGTCTAGCATCTTTTCGCCTCTGACACTTTAGGAGCACATCAAGTTTTACCTCACACACAACATCAAGTTATATTCTCAAAAGCTATTTGAGTGGTGGCAGTAATACCTTAAGAAACACATAGAGCTCAGGTTGATCCAAACCTTTCCAGTTTTTTTCTGTTGGTCATGGGAGCCCTGTGTGCTAAGTTTGGTCCAATTCCATCATTGGTGGAGTTCAGAATGCTCTTTGATTGTAGGTAAACTATTAATCCCAGCAACAACAATTCCCAAATGACAAAATCATTTTTTTTTTAGTGGAGGACATAAATTGGACTGTTAAGTGTCTTGTGTCCAAATTTGGTGTCAATTCCCCCAGTGGTTTTTTAGTTCTGATGGTAGCACGAACTAACATTACATTTTTATTTATATAGATGAGACATTGAATTAAAATCAGCTAGAAGCATGATAATGAAATGGAACAAAACAAATAGCACAGCACATTCTGAAAAACCTTTACTTCGAACAATCTGTAGTGGAAATTTCAGAATGTTCAAAACATTATATAATCACTTTGGGTATTAAAACGAAAGGAAATTTATGATAATAAAATAAAATAAATCCAAGGGCAAACTGTGCGGGTTTGTCTCAGGGTAGACATGTGGCCTCAGATGGACTCCCTCTTGGTCCTTTCAGCTCCAAATAACAACAACAGAAGCAACAACAACAATAATAATGGTAGGTTACATACCTGTGACCATCTTTCTTCGAGTGGTGCTCTGCGAATTCACACTTGTGGAGAGACTGCGCCTGCGCGGGCTCCAACGGAAACTTCTACTTTTAAAACTTTTCAAGTTTTGCGGTAACCCCGCCCAGCCCCGGCAGGGGATAAAAGGGCGCCCCGCGCACACCGATCCAATTCCTACGCCGCTACGGTAGCGAGAAATTGGAGGTTTGCTTGAGGGGAGGCTGGGCGGGTTAGTGTGAATGCGCAGAGCACCACTCGAAGAAAGATGGTCACAGGTATGTAACCTACCATTTTTCTTCGTGGTCTCTGCGAATGCACACTTGTGGAGACTAGCAAGCTCAGGTCCCGGAGGCGGGAAGTAAGCAAACCGACCATAAGGATCAAGGGCCAAGCAATTTTATTAAGTGCAAAAACAGTCATAAACAAGAGATTGTGATCACTTCCGAAGAAGGGCATAGTGCATAACAAGAGGTTGCAATCACTTCCAAAGAAGGGCATAGTGCATAAACTTATGGGAGTACGTGATCCTCCCGATCACTTCAGGGTGACCAACAATTGAGTAAACTTATGACCCTTGAAAATAAAGCACATGGTAATTACCGAATACACTCACAATAATGAGGGCACCATCTTAGTAATTCAGCAACAATTACCGACAGAATATAACACATTAGTAAGGCAAATAACATCGATAATGGCACAGAATACCCGTAATGGGCCCATTAAGGCAACAGTAGAATGGCAGCCTGAATACCAGGCAGCAAGGCATCGAGGGTAAAGGTGCAACTTCCTTCCCAACAGCGAGAAAGCAGTATTCAAGTAATAAACATGTTACACAATACATTCAGTAATACACAGTATCGACACGAAAAAACCTCATGTCGGTACGCATCCTATGTTCCATTTCGGGCCCTAAAGCGGATCTGAGCCCAGAACCGCCCTCCCAAAGGCCATGTCAGGCGTAAACCTAGTGTTTAACCTGTAATGAGTCACAAATGTTTGGGGATTCTTCCAAATGGCCGCCTTGCAAATAGCGTCCAGGGGAATCCCCTTTAGGAAGGCCGTCGAAGCCGCCATAGCCCTGGTCGACCGGGCCCGGACGACCGAGGGTGGTTGTTGTCGAGCTAATTGGTAGCATAGCTCGATGGTCGAGGTAATCCAGTGGGACAAACGTTGCGCCGAGATCGGCAAGCCCACCTTGTCGGGAGCATACGCTACAAAAAGTCTGTGCGACCGCCTAGACTGGGCAGTTCTGTCCCTATAGCACAGCAATGCTCTCCTCACATCGAGCATGTGAAGTGTCTTTTCCCTCGGGGTCGAGGGGAATTGGCACAAGGAGGGAAGAACAATGTCCTCATTGACATGGAAAGGGGATACAACCTTGGGGAGAAATGTCACATCTGTGCGCAGAACTACTCTGTCCTCGTGGACAACAAAATAGGGTTCGTCCACCCGCAAAGCCGCCAACTCCGACGGCCGACGGGCTGAGGTGATGGCAACTAAGAAGGCCACCTTCCATGACAACAACCGCAGGTCAGCTGAGAGCAAAGGTTCGAAAGGCGGCAGCCCAAGCCTAGCCAGTACAAGGTCAAGATCCCACCCCAGGGTCGGAGACCGAACCGGGGGATACAAGTTGTTGAAACCCTTCAAAAAGGATTTCACAGAGTTGTCTTTGAACAGGGAAGCCTCCCCTGTTCGCTGGAGCTGCCACGATATGGCGGCCAAATATGACTTGAGTGAAGACAACGACAGTCCCCGCTCGGTAAGGTGCAGCAGAAAAGAAAGGATCGTCGGTATCGACGGTCGATGATCGTCCAGACCCTTATCGGCAAGGAAGGCCTGGAAACGGTTAAGGCAGGCCGAGTAGCACTTCTTGGTGGCTGGCTTGTGTGCTGCCTCCAGGATCGGAAGAACTCCTGGGCACAGCGACCTCAACACCGGATCCTCCACGCCGAAAGATGCAGAGAAGCGATGTTGGGGTGGAGGAGTTGACCGTCCTCTCGAGACAGCAGGTCCTGCCGAAGAGGGAGGCGCCTCATCTGCCCCTGGGACAGCTGGAGTAGAACCGGGAACCACGGTTGCCGTGGCCATTCCGGTGCCA